CAGTAATCTAAGCGTCTCGTTTTCACTCTCACGAAGAATTCCTTTTTCGATATATTTGAGGGCAAATTGCGCTGTGAGAATGAAATGTTCCGCCACAACTGCGTTCAATTTCACTGCAGCGTGAAAAAATTAGTGCAAAAAAAGCAGTGATAAACAGCAACAAATGCAAATCCTTCCATTGAGTTCGATGGTAAATCAGTGTTGGCATAAACCACGAGCCAAAATCGGTACCAACTTCTGAGCGTCCACGGAAGTGGAAGATGTCGAAAAATTTGCCAAAGGGCGATTACCGCTGGCATGAGCTATTCCCTCAGTATCTTCCAAGTGCGCTAATTTCTCACAAATAGTAAGCTATGGAGGGTTCCGACTTCTGATTTGATAAAATTCAAGGAGACTATCATTTCTTAAACTCTGTTTCCCTCAAGTCCCACTTTTGCAGCAGAATATGAGTTTGATAAAATTATTGACGGGTCACCAATTTGCGCTTGGAATACCCGGATCAAATGATAATTCGCAGTCCGAATCTCCTTCTGGGCAACTGGCAACTTTCCCATCCAGTGCAATCTCACGTCTCTCTCTCTCACAATATTCCAATGTTGGGCTAGTCCGCTTGGTCAGTTACCGTGCTGTGTTAGTAAAATAGCCCCTCAACGATTCGCTACAAGTCCACAGCAGCAAGGCTTAGTCAGCAAGGTTGTTAAAGCAAACACTTACAATATTCATCAATTTTCGAATCATTCAGTGTGCCTTCCTTTGAAAACGGCACTCTTTCCAGGGCTTTGAAATTTTCACTCTCCAAGATATTCTCGTCTTCGTAAAACACGCTACTTCGGCATTTCACAAGCGTCTCGTACCGAGCTTTCATCGCTTCCATATTAAACAGCGGGTCCCCAATCTACAAAGAGCCCAGTTTTTCCAAAGTGACATATTTTGCTCGCAAATTCCTTCAAAGGAGGGTGGCTGTAGCAAAAAATGCATTCAATCGTTTTTATTGCCTCTTATTTTGGTCACTAAACCATGAAACTGCAGTAAAATATTTCGCCTTTACTACTGCCACCAGCTTTGCTTTATGCAAAACAAAAAAATCGTTGGTCCTTTCACCATTATTTCTTAACTTTTGCAGTTTTCTAGCACCAGAACAAGGCTGGAGGGG